CGATGGGAGAGAAACATCGATCAGCTGCCTCCTGTACATTTCCCATTGGAGATGTGCCCGCAACCCAGGTACATGCCCTTGACCAGAATCGAACCTGGGAACCTGCAGTCCGCAGGCCGACGCTCTATCCACTGAGCAAAACCGGTTTCGGCTCCTGCTTCTTTTTTCCGTGGAACTGGAACTCTCACTCCTGTCCTTCCCTGAAGGCCCTCCCTTCCCCTAGGGAGAGCTCACTAGGCTGAGATGGGTTTCCCATCCTCCTCAAAGCACCAGGCTTGGGCCGAGGGCTCTTGTGGGGAGGTCCAGGTCTCCAAAGCACGTGGGTGACAGGGGGCTGCCCATCAGTTCCTGTGCTGCGCTTGTGTTCCCTGTTAATCCTTCTCCCTGCTGCCCCCCATCTGTCTCAGTGAAAGGAATGTTATGTCCAATCTTTGCATATCTGGTGTGGCTGCTTCTGGTCCCATGATAGGCCCCAAAGGGCTGCCCTCTTCCTCTCAAAATCAGGACTCCTGCCTGAAGGAATGAACTCTTAGATGTCAGTGCCCAAGTGAGGGTGGGGGGCGCACCCTCTCTAAGGTCCACAGAAGGGTCATGAGTTACAGGGAAGGATGAGAACTTCGGGAACTAAGGTTTACACAGACCAAAGAGAACCTATATCCTGGGCGACCCAGGGTGGTGGGAGAGCCGAGCTGGCACCAGGGGGCCTGGAAGTCCAGGCCGCCTATCCTGGCTGACCCTTGTCTCTCCTTCTCAGACACCTCCCAGAGGGCCATGTTGTCTGGACGTGTCAGGCTGGGCCCTGTCCTGGCTCCAGGGAGGTCAATGTCAGGCCATGTCCCCTGTGGTTTTTAGCTGATGGCCCAGATGCACCATTGATCCAACATTAGGGAGGACCCATGATGCAGCCAGGCCTCGAGCAGGCTGAGCAGGACAGGGAGGAGAGCAGAAGGGTCTCCTTTGCAGGGCTCCTGGCAGCAAACAAGGGACAGTGCTAGTCTGGTAACTGTGGCCCCTCCCTCCCACCAGGGGCTCGGAGCCAAGACAGGTCTCTGAGGGCTGTGGCAGGACGCTGGGCTGTGAGTCATGTGGGGAGGCGGCAGCCACCACCTGTCCTGTGTGTGCGGAGGAGGGACCAGAGTGGACCCCGAGGGCAGGAGATGCGTCAGGGGAACCTATATCCTGGGCCCGGGAGCTGGGCCAGAGGCTACAGCGCAGGCCTCTGCAGCTCACCCCTGAGGACCCGCCCCGTTGGAGGTTCTCATCTTTCTAAAGGTCAAGCCTTTCTATCTCGGCCGAGGTCTGGCTGCCATTTACAGAGACATTCACTGTGCCCGGCCCACGTGAATCTAAAACCCAGGTTGTCTGGTGGCTTTCCCTGAGCTGCGCTGCAGGGAGAGACATGGCATGAGGAGGGGCTTCCTCCTGGCCCCCAGGGAGAAGACACACTGTGCCTCAAAGGACGAGAAGCGTGAGTCACCGAACCTCAGATGTCCCACGAGAGGCCTGGAGAAACCACTGCACAGGAGGAGGGGCGGTCCCAAGCCTCACCCAGAGATGAAGTTCCAGCAGAGCCATGACCGGCGGGACCCAGGTCTCCGGTCTGCAGCCCACATCCCTGCCATTGCCGGGGAAGCCTCAGCAAATGATGCTGGCAGGACCCCTGGGCAGGTCAGGACAGACACCCAGACACCTGAAAGCACCAGTCCTGCCAGGTGGTCAGCAAGCAAGAGTGCCCTTGCGCCTTCCTCACCCGGAATCCAGGCACCCGTCAAGGTGTGCTCAGAGCCCATGACGCAGCTGTGTCACCCGTGGTGGCTACATGGACTGAGGCCCTCTGACCCAGAATGCCCTGCACAGGGAGGCCGTCGCTAGCCTCTCAGGGTCCTTCTTGTCATGTGAATGGGGTCCTGGTAACTGTAGGATGAACCTGGCTGGGAAGCCTGCCTGTCCTCCCAGATGTCTGTTCTACTGCGCTACTGGGAAGACCTGGTTTGTCCTGAAAAGCAATGCAGTCCAGCCATCTCTTCTTCCTCATCCCCTAGACCAAAAGGAGAGAGTGGGCGCTGCACCCCTGTCACCAGCAGCCAAGCCCTGACACGGCCCATCCATGGTCTCCACATGGGAGCGAGTCTTCCATCACTGCTTCTCTCCGGGACCTACCAGTGTTTTCTGTTTTATTTTTTGTTTGTTTGTTTTATGTTTTCAATATATTAAAAAGTAACAGTACAAAATTCTATAGTTATTAAACAGGATTCAAATATATCCTTTATAAACTAGTTCTACAATTTAAGGGAAACATCTTGATACATAAAAGCTTTAACAGGATTTAAAATGTTTAAAACTAGAACATGTATAAGACTGAACTCTTTCAAATGTTCAAACAGAAAGACAACATGCATAATCCCTATAATAAAATGTGTTCTTGCACACATACACTGGGGTCTTTACAAATTGTAAACTTTTAAAGTTTCAGTAATAGAGGCAGCACTTAAAGGTTTTCTGAACCTTTTCCCAAACAAGCATACTTTCAGTAAATCATTTTATCTGACTCTGCATTTGCATTTTTGTTCTTCCTGAAAAGGAGAATTTACACTAGCACTGAATTTTTAATTTAAAAAAATACATTTAGAGATATTTAACTTCCTGAGTGACTTCAGTTATTCAAACATGATTTAATGAGAAAATTCTAACACTACCAACTTGAATGTTTTCTATATATATACACAAAATGTGATTCACTAATAAGCAGGTTCTTGCAATACAATGGATGACAGAGCATTAAAATATTTTCTTTAGGAAACAACCAATAAATAGAACACGCCCCTTTCTCAATTTCTAAAACGATTAGGAATTGTGGAACTTTCTTTTGCATAAAACCCTTTCCTCTTCATGAAACCCTGAGGTGAAAAGCTATCCATGTAAAAGCTGTCGTCACAAGTCTCCTCAGTTCTGTATTAGAATATAGCTATATGTTTAAAAAATTTTATAAAGAAATGTGGCAACTTATAAAACTGCTCTGTACAGTTTTAACGAAACATTCCCAGACCAACTCAGCCTAGGATGACCCTATAGAAACACTGTCCTTTGGACACCTGCTCGTTTGGAGATGAAGCCCCTTCCCAGCTCTCCTGCTGCCTCTTCTGTTGTCGCAGCCATGGCTCCAGCCAGGTGGTTCCTGTCCTCACGGAAGTGACCATCTCCGTGTCCTCTGGGTGCTGCTCACGGCTTTCGTGTCTGCTCCTGGGCAGGGAGGAGAGCTCTGCCTGGCTGACACAGTGATGACGGTGTGTCCTGACGCCATTGGGAGCTTGGCGACTCGTGATAAGCAGGACTGTGTGACTGAGCTGATGGGGAAATCCTGATTGATCCAGCTGCGGAGAACCACATTTCCCGCCCTATGACATCTGTCTCAGAACGTTCATCACTGCTTGTTTCTGAACGTTTTCTGGAGAAGAGAGAGATCTCTCAATTGCCTGTGGTGATGGAGCCAGGTTATCCAGGCCCTTCCGTGTCTGTGAGGAGATGTAGAGGCCGGGCTTGAATTCCCACATGACGCTGGACTATGACGGACTCACATCCGGGGAGGCATGGCTACTTCCTGAGGAAACTGGGTTTTGCTGGGCCTTCCAAAGAGTTTTATTGCATTAAGTAGATCCGTTGCATAAAGAACAGACAGTGCATGTGGGAGAGTCACAAATGCAAACCGCTTTGCTTTGCCATCCTACCTTCTGGGATTTTCGCTGTTATCACGGGCCCCGCCTGGCGGGGAGGCGGGAAAAGGAGCCCCGCGGTCACTGTAGTGTCCAGGTCGCCACCTAAGCGAGCAGATCCGCTTCCGCCACTGCCCCTGCGGGCGTGCCCTCCCGTGTGAGGCCAAGGGGTCCTCCTGACGCTCCCACTGCGCACTCTCCGAAGCCCAGGTCCTCGGCAACCAGGCGTCGCCTACGTAAACGTAAACGTCATCACGCTCCTCCTGCCAGTGTCAACGTGCGCTGATGGAGTGCGGAAGCTCGGAGGACAGCGCTCCGTGAAGGCCATGGCTCCCAGGGAGGCTCGCGGAGCCAGCGTCAGCGCGCCCGACACCGGCTGGACTGACCTGCGGAGCGCGGAAGCCTCCCTGGACCGAGGGACGTGGGACGGACGGACACAGCGGCCGCCTGGGAAGGTGGCCCTGAACGAGGGGTCCCTGTGCCTGGCGACCAGGAACACGGTGGCCCTTCGCGCTCCCCTCAATGGCCTCAGCCCGCTGGCCTCAGGGCCGGCGACAGTCTCTGCAGACAGTGCCCTCGTGCCAGGCCAGAGGCGACCCACCGGGAACCTCGTCCTCCGCAGAGGACGTGGCCAGGCGTCCCGACCAGAGCCCTTGAGCGACTGGCAGCGGCTGGAGCCCATGATGCTCAGCAAAGGGAAGGGACCCGGATGGACGGTGCCAAGGCCGCGAGGTGAGATTCTCCATGTACCCGACCCGCGGAAGGGGACCTGCTGCGGAGCTCGGGGTGCAGGACGCTGCGTCTGTCACCAGCCACTGTGTGACCGCGGCCCGCACTTTGGCCCCACCCAGTGCTTTCTAACAGGGCGCTGCTCTCCTTCCATGAGGCACTTACCACGGGCTGGACCCTTTGCCTGCGCTAACTCACACCATGCTCACCACACCTACTAGGTGGGTGCATCGTTAAGCCCATTTCACAGATGAAGGGAACGAGGCACACAGAAGTCCATCGTGTGCGGTCTCACTGCTGCAGGGACTCCTCATGCTGCCTCGTGACGCCTCTCCAGGAGGCCTCTGTCCCCCTACCGTAACAGTGGCTGCACTGGACTCTGCCTGTCCCCCAGCTGCGCATGCTCACCGACACCTGGGTGCTGCCCCTGGCCACCTATATGCCCGTATATTTTGGACAGCACCCACAGTTACCTGCTTTCTGAGCTGCTGGTTCTCCATCTCCAGCTCCCGGTGCTGGAAGCTGCTCTCCTGCAGGGCCAGGGAGGCGTCCCGCAGCCCCTGGATGGTGCCCTGGAGGCTCTGCTTCTCCTGGTCCAGCTTCAGGAAGCAGCTGGAGGCTGAAGAGCAAAGTGGAGTCAGAGCCCATATTCCAGGGGCCTCAGCTTCTGCTCTCTGCCCCCGGCCCTGAGACGGCCATCACCCTGAGCCCTAGACTTGAGGGTCTGGGATGGTCAGCTGGATGCCCTCCCTTTTTCCCAGGGGGCTGTTGCCATCTGCACATGAGGGTTCCTCAGGCGGTTATGGCCCCTCTGCTGGCTCAGCTGGGTTTGTTAGGGGAGCAAGCAGAGCTTAAGAAAAAAGCAGGTGATGGCAGAGAGAAGCCAATGCAAAAGTTCAAGATGGTGGAACTGCTGGAACCACTTTTTTACAAAGTTGTAACCTGACCATCAAGTCAAGGATTGCAGAGACTAACAGATGGCAAAGAGAGTGCGTTCTCTGTGCCAGCCTCAGAGTGGTGGGAGTCCGGGAGGCTCAGCCGAGGGTTTAGGGGGGACACGATCATTGACCCGCGTATCTGTGGGTGGAAGAGGCTATGGGGCACATATGCCCAGTACTTGCCACCTCTGGGTAAATTCCTTCAGTCAGAGATTTCATTTTGTACTTTCACAATTGCATTGAAAAAGAATGAGACAGGGACACAGTGTTGTTAAGAGTTCTCACTAGCGCCCTTGCGATAATTGCCAATAGGCTACTAGAGACCAGCCACTACGATGTCCAATCCAGTGACGAGAGCGAGAGCTGCCAGGAGACAGAAGACCAAATTATCCCAGGAAATAGCACATGCTGCGGTAGTGGAGACAAGGAAAGGTTCTCAAGCGATCCAGCCACACAAAGATTATATCAGAATCCGAAATAATAGAGATAGTAACTACTCAAGAATCTGTGACACTGAATCCTGAGATAATGGAGCAAACAGTTAGCCAAGTACAGGTCATGCTGTCAGTTGCCCAGACTCAATCTACAGAATCAGGCTGCAGCATTAGAACCGCGCTTCTCCAGCTGATCAACGTGTTAAGGAAACCTCCTGAAACATCTGCTCCCCAATTTCAGGTCATTATAGAAATGATAGACCATGTTTTGAGAGACCTAAAGGACATTCGGGAAGAAATAGCTGACATGAAGAGGCACGTAAGTCGACTCAGCCTGTCATCGTACGTCTCAACATGTGCACCACAAGGCCACGTTGACTTAACACCTTGCTTAGATCCACAGCCGATTGCATCTACTCTGTAGCCCTGCGCAGGTCAGCCCGCACCACCTTTTCAGCCAAGTGAGATCGAGTCCTCCCCTGACGAGTTCTTCTGTTCATTCTCATAAGCAAAAATTAAGAAAAATTAAGAAAAAGAATGAGACAGTATATCCAAATTGCTTTAAAAATTCTAAGTGAGATGAAAACAGGGTAAAGCCAGAAAAAGGCAGATTTCCTCTGTTGCTTTTAAACAGCTTGAATGCAGAACAGAAAAGGGAGCACAGACCTGAGAAGAATGGGCATTCTCGTTCCCTTCCTGCCACCAGGAGGTGCGTGACTTTGGATAAATCCCAGGGCTTGTTCAGGAGGAAACCATGAATGTATGAGGGGTCAGGGTTGTTCCCTCACCTGTCCCTCCAGGGCCACACACTCAGCCCTGTGAGCCTTATCACACTGTACTGCTAATAGGGCTGCTCACAAGCACCCCAAGAAGCAGAGCAATGGGGATCTTTGGATAAGACAAGGGCGAGAAGAACAGCCATCCTTTGTTGGTGCCCCATGGGCCAGGCACAGCCTAATGCTTCACTGTCTCCTCTCACACAATACCCATAGCAATCCTGTGAGGCAGCTTAATTACCCCCATTTTTCAGATAAGAAAACTGAGGTTTAGGAGAGGTCACCTGGCTAACAAGTAAAGGAGCCAGGACTTTAAACCAGGCCTTTCTGACTCAAGAAGCCACCACCCCAACCACACAAAGTACGTTCACACTTTGTTCATGAGCTGCCAGCTGAGCAGTAGGAGTTGGGAACATGAAGAAGTCAGTCACTGACCCTAAAGGGCTCACAGGCTGCACTGAGCATCTGAATCAGGGAGGCTTTCCAACCCCATCAGCCATCTTGGTCTCTAACAAGCACATTTGGTCTGAGCCACTTCCTGCCAGCCGGCACCAGTTCTGTGTCCCACCAGGGCGTAGTGGTGCTCCCCAGGAACCTGAATTCCCTGAGCCTGGGTTCCCAGGAGTGAGGAGACACCAAACCACAGAAAGAACTAACTTCTCACACAGACTCATAGTTCACTGAACTGATTTTAGGTTTGGAGCAGATGGGACTCCTTGAAGAGAGGAATACCCAGCTGCTTTCAACAGCCTTTCCATGACGCTGAGGAATGTTGCTCAGAATTGAAAAAGCAGCCCCTCCCCAAACCAGCCTAAGGCCCTCCTGGCTCTGCAGAGCTCTAAGCAAACCCTGACCTGCACTCTCAGGTGCACACGTGCTATTATTGGACACAGGAACTGGCTTCTTGTTTGCTGGGTGCTGAGGCTCCTGCTGCATGGCCACCCCACCCACTTTCCCTGGCCACCCCCTCACCTCCTCTGGGGGCTGGGAGGGGGCAAACACCAGAGGGAGTGCTAGAGGCCTGGGTCCCCTGAACAGCATCCACTGAGCAGCCCCAGCCCAGGAAGACGGAGAGCAGACCATACACATCTGTCCATTATGAAATCAACGAAGGAAACCATGCCCTGGGTACAACTATAATGGAGGTGAATGACCACTGGGGACGTCTCCTGCATCCAGAGCTTCCAGTGCTCCACGGAGAGATCTAAGACACACTCTGGGTGTCAGCGTGCTGTCATTTGGAAGCTCCTGTGTCTAGCTGAATGGGAACTGAGAAATCTGGCAGCACTTCCTTTGCATTTCATGTCCTGACTTCAAGGCTGCCAGGCCCTTCATATTCTTGGAGAGAATTGCAATGAAACAGTTCCAAATGGCCCTTGAATAAAACCCTGTTTACTTGGGCTGACATATGGATTTCAGAGCCAAGGGCTCAGCTCCCTGGCTTATGGAGAAGCCGAACAGTCAGCTGTTCCTGGAGAAGGCCCTTGGTATCCATTAAAGTGTAATTGTTTTCAATCAGGCTGGCTCCATCGGCTGCTGCCTACCCTCTGACAGCTGCTCCAGCTCCCAGCGCAGGTGGGCGGACTCCTCCACACTCTGCCCCTGTGCAGTCTTGAGGGCCATGTTCTCTTCCTGCAGCTCCTCAAGGCATTTCTGGTCTGTGTCCCGGGCCTGAATGTGCAGAAAAGGGGGTGGGGTGAGGATGCTGACTGGGGCACGCTCTGGACAGATCCTGGCCCCTGTGCATCTGCCCTCATTCCCCCAGGATGAAGGGCCTCCATGCCCCTGCTCACTTCCAAAAACACAGCTGCACAGAAATGACTCCAACACACGGCCCAGCTGTGAGAGTTACAACCACTAAAAAGTATGTTGACCCAGTGACCTAGGCCCTAGGTCAGGGGTGGGCAACCTTTTTGTGAGTGCATGCCAAAACCAGCAAAATCTCTGACTCAAAATTCTTCTGTGTGCCAACCCTAATTTTTTGAGAAGATGTTACGCCTACTTGGTATCTCTTAAGGTGCACATATGTGAAGAACCTTGAAGAAATAATAAAATTCATTCGAGTGACAAAATATCTAAGATGCACCTACACGGAATTTATCTGAAAAATAAAAAAGTTGATATTAAGAAAAAATTGTAAATGGAAGATTATAAAAGAGGGTTTCGCGTGCCAGCAAAAGTTACCAGTGTGCCATGTTTGGCACGCATGCCAGGGATTGCCCACCCCTGCCCTAGGTCCTAGGGGATGAAGACACCCAAGGTCTCTGAGCGGTGTCTGAACAAGGTGACGTACAGCGCAGGGCTTTAGAGCAAGTGCTATGGTGAGGGCAGCTCTGTGGCCCCTTAGCAGGCCTAACGCCTTGGAACGGCCATAGGGACTCACACATCACAGCTCAACCCACATCATAAATGCCTGAGGAGACCCTTTTCGCAACAGAGGCCCAATCCCTCCATCCTCACAGGAAAGCAACACAGCATCTGGCCCTCTCTGCATTGGAGGCTTCAGTGGTGCCCACTCAAGCCACTGAACCTAGCAAGTGACTCTCCACCTTCAGCGAGTCACTGTGCCAGCAGCAGCACCGACCAGTAGCTGAACATCAGAGAAGGGCACAACATGAACCAAAAACTGCCCCAACAGTTTTACATGTGGCGACAACAGCCTGTCCTACCAAATGTAGGCGGTGCAGCTTTGATTTCAGCTGCACGTTCTCCTCCTCAAGCTCGTACAGCTTATCGACCCGGGACCAAGCGACAGTCAGCTGCTCCTGGAGAAGGTCCTTGATGTCCATTAAGGTGTAGTTGTCTTCAATTAGCTCCTGGTCAGCAAGAACACACATGAGAGCAATGAGGTTAAGGCCCCTGGTCATGACAACAGCTCTTCCAGGCACCTGGACCCAAACCAACAACCTAGTGGTGACTCTGCTGCTGCGGGAAGTTCTGGCACCACTTTTGAGCCCCTGCCCTTCTTCATTAGGCCAGGCCAGATGGAAAAATCCTCGAAGCAAGACACTATTTAACTTCGGGAAGGGAACACTGTGAGAGTGTCTGACATGTACAGCCTCAGATGGTTGAACACTGTGAGAGCGTCTGACATGTACAGCCTCGGGTGGTTGGATGAGTGCACCTGCACAGGTGTGGGACTTGGCTGAGCCCCTTTCCTTAAGAAGGAAGGGGTGGGGCTGAGAGTCCTGGGTTTGAGGACTGAGGCCTGGCCTCTCACAGTCACTCCACTGATCTGGGTTCTGGAACAAAATTCAGATGAGCTTTTGTTCAATATGCACTTCCTATTTGAACATTTCACACACCTACTCTCAGCAGTTTCCTGGAAATGAGGGGTCTGTAAGACACAACAAACAAGTACTATGGGCCTCTGTGTGTCAGGCACAAGCTGGGAGTGGAACGCAGTGGCTGGGCCCTCGAAGGCCACCTCATAGGAGTCCATGGCACTTACTCCTATCCCAGTGCCCAGCACACAGGGGAACCATTCAGCTCATTCCCCTCATCCCTGGTCCTCCCCTCCAGATTCCTCCCAGTGCCACTCATGTCTTAGGGGGCTGAGTCTCCCCTGAATGCCCTCACAGTTTGCGAGCACCGATACACGCTGATGTGTCTGTTTCTCTTGGGGAGCAGTTTTCCAAGGCTTGCCCCACTCATGGGTGCAGGCCGGTAGCTCCTGCTTATCCATCACGTGTTCATTTCCCCACACGGGCCAGAACCCCATATTCTTGGTAAAGGGGAAACCGTATACCTACCGCCAGTGGACACGGTTCTGGTCAAAGCCTGGCAGCCGGAAGGGTTTGGTCACTGACTCTGGCTTCACCTGGCAGCCCCCTCTCTGCCTGTCCCCGGCCCTGCACTAGGTGCTCTCTGTCTCTGCCACATTCACTCTTCACAACAGCCCCCAGAGGGAGGCAGGGACAGTCCCTTCCTACACACAACGAGGCTGACTTGGGTCAATTAAGGAAAGAACCCCAAGTCACAAAGCCAGCCAGGGGTGAAGTTGGGCTTGAACTCAGGCTGGACAGCTCCAGACTTGTCTCTTCACTGCCCTCAGCAGCCTGCACCCCATCCTAAGGAGCCCGGACTAGTATCAGCGATGTGAGCCGGAGCACATAGAGGGGCTTCACGCAGGAAGAACGCCCAGCTCTCCCTTTTTGGCCACTGCCCCCAGCATGCTGATCCAGTGTTCCAGCCAGTCTACCCACCAGTACTCACCAGTATCACCATAATCCCAGGCCCTGAGTTCCATAGCACAGTCTGCCCCTTCACCCTTACTACCAACTCCTACCCAGCCTTCAAAACCCAGCCAGAATTGGGGGCTCGAGCACTGTCCTTGCTGATCTCTGGGCCCCGGCACATGGGCCTCGGAGAACAGTGTGACTCATTCTCTATGTGGCCTGGCCTTCATGGACCACTCTATTTCTCTTGTAATTCATTTACTAATGCAAAGTGTAAGGCATTACTAGTTTCACAGCAAAATTATTAATCAATATGAGAAATGTTGCTGCTGTTATCCAGAGGCACACACCTTGAGAACACAAAAAAAGGGTTCCCACGGGAAACCCTGCAAAAGCCCAGAAGCACCCCAGTGCCAGGAGCGAGTCTTGCTTTGTGTTAGATCCCCTGCTCCTGGTGCGGGGCTTGGGGCCACACAGGTCTTCAGTCACTGCGCCTGCATGACTGAGCGAGGCTGCTTGGACAGGCCCAGAAAAGACACGGAGACAGAGGCTGAGCCCTGAAACCCACCCCCATCCACGGTGCAGAGTGTTGGCTGAGAGGTGGGGCCTGCCTTAGGTTCCCAGTGTGCAGGAGGCTGCGGAGGCGGCAGCCTGGGGAAGCTTGCACATGACCTTCCGCAACCCTCCTACCTGTGAGTGAGGGTGCCCGTGCCCCACACCTGTCTGTGCTGCAGACTGATGCCTTTCATCACCAGCAGGGCCAGGGGACCATTTCCAGGACAAAGCCGAGAGCTGGCCTCCCACTCCCACCCATCCTGGGCCGGGCTGCTTGGGCACAGCACCCAGGGCGCCTTCTCCCCAAGGGGTAGGGGAGTGAACCACCAACATTCCTGGGGGAACAGACACACCCTGAGTAGGTGGGAGGAACCAATAGACCTGGACCACAGTCATCCCCAAACCGCACCACCTGGCCCCGGGACCTCTGGGCCCGTCTGCAGCAGGAGAGCATGTTGAAGTCTCCGGCCAAACTGCCTGGCCCAGCACACCTGCCTACCAGCTGCTTGGCCAGGAGAGGGACAGCCTGTGCTCCCAGACCTGTGCTCCCCTCACAAGCTTCCTGCTGGCAGCGGGATGATTTCTTACCACCCAGCAGCCCACTCAGTGTGCGCTGACATCCTGGTTTCACCCCGCTCCCTCAGACTGCCTCTAACCCTGGGCTCAGCAGAGGGGGCAACATTCCCAAATCCTCAAAGACAGGGTCCCAAACCTGCTGGTGATGTGAGCCGTCGGGTGCATGGTCAGAGCGTCAGTAACCCTGCCTGGGTCTTGGTCTCCATCCCCCCTCAGCTCTGACACCCTCCCCTGAACAGACCCATAACCTTGAGATCTGAGTAGGCTACACCATGGAGAGCTTCATATGGGACTTGCCCAAATACCATATATCTTTCCTATTTCACATTGTATAACTCACGGACTAGTACAGTTATCTCTGTTTTATAGATGAAGAAACGGTCCTGGTAAGATTTAGCCACAGAAATTACAAAGAGTCAAAAAAAAGAAAGATTAGTGAATAGAAAGTCATCAGTATAGCATGAAGGAGGAGAAGGAAAAGTCCTAAAAGAATCAGGGCCCTTCAACCACAATCCCAATCCTATTCCTTCCACTACCCAGGGGTCTGGCAGACAGTCTGCGGTGCAGGGAGGGGGCCAGCTGGGGAGGCATCGTGGCCCCTCTCCCCTCTTCCAGGACCCAAGTGCCCACCGGCCGCCTGCCCTGGGTCAGACTCACCTTCATGCGGGCTGCATAGAAGTCTGTATCTTTCTGCTTCTGCCTGAGGCCCATCACCTCCATCTCCAGCCTCTCCACACGCCTCGCCTTCTCCCTCAGGGAGTCCAGCTCAGGGAGTGGGGCAGGAGCAGCCTGGGCGCTGGCTGCCAGCTCCATGCTCTGGGAGGTGGGAAAAGGCAGGGGACCTGGCTCAGGGCACCCTTGGGGCTGGGGAAAGGCCCAAATCCCTGCAGCCCCAGGAGAAGCCAGGGGCAGCCAAGCTGGTCCATGTGCAGGCCCTTGTGTGGGGGCCCCACATGCTGTCACTGCAGCATGTCACCCCCCAGCAGCTCCCAGGACAACTGGCTCTCAGGCAGCGCTGCTTTGAGCGGGAGGGAGAGGTGTCCCAGATCATATTCCTGGACCTGGGGCCCCGGTGACTGGGGCGTCCCAGCCCCCCACCTCCGGCCCACAGGATAGGCCTCCTGCTCACATTGCGCCGGGCCTCCTGCAGCTCCAGCACCAGCTGGTACAACTGATGCCTGGCGTCCGCCAGCTGCTTTGTCTTCTCCTCCCTGGGGGCGATGAGAACACATGGTGAGGGCTCCTCAGAAGCACCCAGAAAGCCCACCACCTGGGAGACCACAGCGGGGAAGGAGGGGGTCCTGGCTTCTAGGCGTGCGG